AATCGACAAAATCACAACGCCTAAAGGGTCGCACTCCCAATTAACAATAGGCTGCGCCATAATCACCGGTTAATTATTTTTAAAACACTGTGCCCCACCGTTGCTACTTTCGGGCCAGATACGATCGGTGCATGCGCCTGAACGAGCAGCACAAATGTTAGGAGTGACAGTGAATAGATTACCCTAGCGAAAGTAGAGGGCTAGAGAGATACCGTTGACTTCGTGACAACCCAGCTGTCCGAGAAAAGCAAATTGCGTCTCTCTGTATTTTCACAAGCGATATACACGTTAATCCCCCAGCTAAATGAAATGAACCTGAATATAATCGTTGGGAATACGAATTATTTACGAAATAGGCAGTACCAGCTCTGCCAGCCGCTATAGCAGGTTTCCTAAAAAGTGAACAACGTAAATGAGGAATAGCGAACGAATCGTTTTAATTATCACGCTTAAGTTTGCGCTAAGAAGTGTTTGGTGATGAGTAATACAAAAAAAAAAAAGAAAATTATCGTCGTGCGAAGGGGTCACAGATCACAAAAAAAAATTGTGGCGTCAATACGACGTCGCCGGGAAGGGTCGTGACGTGACGTCACATGGTAACATTGTCACATTGACATCCTTGCATGGTCAAGGGTGGGCTGGTCTCGAAGACTGTGGAAAAGCAGCCATGGTGTCTCCGATCACGGGGGCGATGCGAAACCACGTTTGGTACTGAAAGCATGCGGAATGGGGGCGGGCCACGATCAACTAAGTGACTGAGAACAACAGAGAGGTGGCCTTGGCTTTAGAGTCGTCTCAGGTGAGACCCATAAGGAACCCTGTAGGCTTTTATTTTCGGAAGTCTGCCCTTATGCAGAATTATTTATATTCAAAAATACACACGCAGATTTAAGTGATGAGTGTTGGTGGGGTCCCTATTGTATCAAGAACGTATTCGCGTTTGTTGTTTCTATTATGTAACCATTTAATGTAATGCCCATTCGAAGGAGCCATTCGCCTAATTAACTGAATTGCACTGAACTGGGGAGTTTACACCGCAGGTGATGCAAGGCGGATCTCTCGGGGAGACCGCCCTCAAGGGTCTGCTCAGCGCGATCAACCTGGTCGCAACGTATGGCAGCTGCTTCTTTTTCCTGTCTAATTACGACATTGCGAGCGGCGCAATAAAAAAGCTGCTTGGTAAGTGCCGGGTAAACTGCTGGGTAAACTGGTAAGTGCACTGGTAAGTGCCCTCCGATAGACAGACTGCCTTGAAAGGTCGTAGCCTGTCCATTCATTAATGTCCACGCATTTACTTATTTCGCAAATTTTTAGCAATGTTGGCGGTTTTGTAAACGTACAAGCTATGACGAGTCTATACTTAGCAAAAAAATTGTGGTCTCTGCACTTTGAGTGAATTTTGGGGGAGTGCAATGTGTGCCCTGTTCACGCTCACTTCTTTTTGCGCTATTTGCGCCTGCACTGCAGGTTCGGCTTGACACCGGTGTTTAGTTTGTGTTTCTCTTGCTTTCGCCTTGGTATTTTGCTTGCGTCGCTGCCCTTTGGCTGCTGTGTCCCGTTTCCCTGTGGTAAGGCTCACCAACACCAATCGACAAAGTCGTTCTGCCACTCTTCACCAGCACTGCCGCACTCAAGCGAGCGCGGGCTGTCGTTTTCGGCGAACCTCCACAGCGGCGTCCACGGTGGAAAACACCCTGCGGCAGCCGGTGCTGTTGTATAGGATAAATGGGTCGGTAGATGCTATGAACAGCCCTTTTATAACGGAGAGGGAGGGGGGGAGTGGCATGTGTGCCCCCGCGCTCGACAAACACAAGCACATAAAACTTTCTTAATTTCGCCTGGGGTCTTTTTCTGTATACTTCGATTAAAACCTATTTTTCAGGTCTCTCCTCAAGTTCACGCACTAATCTTTCTAAAAAAAAAAAAACGACTTCATAGCCCACTTGCTTACCCTTCACGGCAGAATGTCCTTATTTCCCCCCCTTATATATCTTTCTCAATTTATCTAATTTTTTTTCGCCAATACTCTAGCCATTTTTAATTTCTATTGCGGGTGTGCTCAGCTTTTCATTCTGGTCCCTCAAACACAAGGCTTCATGTAGGCTCGTGCCCAGTCGTATACACCTGGATGTGCATCTCCGCATTTATGCAGAACATGCATTATTGTTTTCGTATTTCCCCACAGCCTGTGAATTGTCCAGATTTTTTTTATTTTTACTGAAAACGGCAAGGCGCTTCCTCTCGATTTATCATAAAATGCCTTTTCTCCTTATTTCGTTTTTGTCCATTCGGTATAGTTACTTCGAGCAGATTTTTTTTTTCATTTTTCATTGCTACCATCCTGTAACTTGTCTCCGCCTCTGACTTTTCGCTTCATGCGAGACAACTGCTGCGTGGGCTGCTGCGCAGCAGCTGCCATTGACGACTATACCGCATGGGAGCGCCCCTAGCAGCGATACCCTCAGTACAGTGGCTAGAATCCTTGGAAACTTTTCGATGATCGGATGGTGGCACCCTTTCTCGGGCTAGCGGAGGAGCTTGGTGGCTGTTTCGCTTGGAACTGCGCGACCATGAAGGTATGCCGTTGGCCTTCGGTCTATACGTGCATTGCGCCTAAAAATCCGTACTGGGAATAAAATGAGCTCATGCTCCGGAGAAATGCTACCGCACTTACGTAGAGTTTTCTCGTGGAAAATCTGAAAAAAGGAACCACAACTTAATAATACTTTTGGCAACTTGATGGCGGAATGTACAATATTTGCACCCGTTCATCTTAGCTTTTTAAACTATTGTAATTCACCACCGTACTTCACACGGACAGTTTCCAACGGAGCGATATAATGCACAATGAAGTGAAAGTGGTGCCCTCTTGATTCGTATAGTCTCCCGTCAATGAAAAAATCACTGTAACATGTTTGGTATGTGCTGCTGGGCTAGTGGGGGAGCCATGATTTTCGAAGAAGCAGTGCATAAAAGGACACGAACACATAAAAAGACACAAATACAAGCGCTGTACAGCGGTTGTGTTTGCGTTTTGATATGCGTGGTGTTTTGTGTCCTTTTGTGCGCTGTTCCTCGGAAAATCATCGTTATAATGTTATCCTGCTGCAGCTATCTCTCGAAAAACGAAAGTGTTGTTTCCGCTGTTGCTGTTTTGAACACCGCATTTATTAAATGGCTGGGAAGTTCTTCTAAATATTGTAGCCATTATTTTATAACTGAAAGGGTACTTTTCTGCATGAATACATAGTTCTTCAAGTGCTTTTCAAGTCGTCCTAGGTGACGACTTGAATATTTATGCAATTCAAAGAAACAAGATCATTCCAGTAATGCTATATAGTAGCATACAATACTACTGAGCAGATGTACAAAGAGGATGACCCTTGCCGTCACTCCCATAACACTCGTGAACTATTTGGTGTGTGGCGGCAATTCTTCTTCTTTTTCTTTTACGGATTGCAGTGTTTCCGTTCCCACTGCTGCCGGTGGTTCTGGCACTTTACTGCAATGCCCAAGTTCGCCATGGACATATCTGATTGGGAGAGAGCACGACGGCCCAATGAGGTCGATCAAAGAGTCTATGAAGGGGAAAAACTGGAGGCCTTAAGCTCATCACCTTGTCTGCGCAGGAAAAATGCTGTTCCTTCTGGAAAATAAAAGCACCATGCGTTGTGATGAACATAAAACATTGCGAGAGTTCCTTGTTCTTTCAGTTAAGACAACTCGAAGGCGAAAGCCTTGCCTTCTCTCTCAACTGAATGTACTGATGCTGCACAGCCCTAACAATGCCTCACATGCTCCCTTTTATGTTTTATACTTGCCGGTAGATACTGCTTAGCACAATTCACGCCACATTATCTGAGAACATTCTAAATAGCTTTCGCATCATTTTTTTGGCTTGAGCGTGCAAACACAAACAGCTGAGTTTATTCTGGAACAAACTCGGCCACCAGCGACAACGAATGCTATACGTCACGTGTATAAATGTCGATGCATGTTACCGTGCATCAGATTATCGATGGCCGACACTCTGTTCGCCGCTATCGGTGCATAGCGTGCATTACTTGCTGTAGTTTCACTTTCAGTTTCCCGACCACAAGCTTGGTCAAATAAAGAGTTTCAACTTGGACACGCCGGGTGCTGCTCTTCGTTGACGTCAGGACTCCGTGATAGTAGGAAAGCATTCCACGCATGACGTGTTTCGCATTGCCTCGGTGATCAGACCATCTCTGACCAAGCTACGATGTGACGCGAAAGCATCATCCTCTGACTTTACGTCACGTGACATCTCTGTGGCGTCTTGATAATGTCGTGATAATGTTGTAAGTTTTTGGTGGTCTGTGACGTCATGTGATGCCGTATGGTGACGTATTCTCATGATCATGGTCTGTTCCACCACTCGACCTCAAGACAGGGGAACGACGACGGTAAAGTTTCGCGTTCATAAGCCATCTGAAGCTTTCGCCTTAATAAGTGTTTTTGAGGGCGCAATTGTAATCTTCAAGTTCGCCTCCTTATGTGCTTGTCTCCGGGAAAGCTATGCCTGGAACTCTGACGTGGACAAGTCCTTGAAGCAAAAGGTGTCGCTGGAGTGAAGGTTTACAGAATGTTCCAGGAAATTCTCATCGCTTTAGGCTTACATGTCATCCTGAACTTCCAATGTATGTAGAAACACTCGGTTTTTTTTTATAGACATGGCAGGCATCCCAGCTATATTCACACACCTTACAGAAGGGGCTCTGACGTCACCATTACTCATGCCGACTTTATTGTAACGTTTTTATTTGGTCGTATGAGAAATAAAGACGGGCTCACAGACTGATTGACCAACCAATGGTCCCTTTTACCATAATAGTTTGAGTTACTTCCCCTCAAAGGAAACTGCAGTGCAGTAAAGTCATTTGGAAACTTTAAATATGTTTTTCTTGAAGGACTTCCCAGATGCTCTTCCCAGTTGCTGGAACTGGCTATCTATCAAACTAAAAAAAACACACAAAGAATCACGTGTGCATGTTTTATTGCTCCCTTCATTGAGGTCTGTACAGGAGAAAGAAAAAAAAATGTGGTTCAAGCAACTCAAAACAAGAAACATAACAGTATGGCAGCAACAGGATATGAAAAAAAACTAATCGTTAAAAATGGCTAAACAGCTGTCACTTCAAACGAAGCAAACACGAAACATATTGACAGATAGGCATAAGAGGGGAATGGGAGTTTGTGGGAAGGTAGGGGAGGAGCTACACAATGTACACAGAATTCGACGGAAGCTGTTGGCATAAATACACTTGCAAAGATCGGCCGATGGTCGGGTAAACTTAACAAGGATAGTTTTTGTAGCGTAACGGCTAGAACACATACACGGACAATGCTGTGTGAGCTGGCGACAGGTACAAGCGAGACAGCCTGACTACACGGGACAACACAATACACTCGGTCGTACAGGTTAGCTCCGCTCGTAACACACAAAGACACTGACGAGAGAACTTTTTGGACACAACGCAACCAGGCTTATACGCTCAGCCCCGAAACAAGCATTCTCAACCAGCGAGATTGTCGTTTACCACGCGACAAAGGAGGAGGAGGGTTAGCATGACAAGAGGCAACGCGATTAACCTTCATTTGAAGCCCGCAAGAGGAAGAGTGCAAAGATTTCCATCACGCTTTCTTCTGCATCATTCCCATTTAAGCCTACACTGGCAAAACGAGAAAAGCACAGTTAATCTCGAAACAGCCGAAGCGGACTTATGAAGACACAATATCAGCGTTTATTTAATCCTTCTTTCACAATTGCATTTCTCAAGCATGCTACAAAAGCTCCACTCCCTATTTTCTGGGGTTAGAGATACGTGGAAACTACTACGGCACAGCCCAGCTTAAAAATGAGTAGTAAATACATGCCACAAGTTGATCGTATAACTATACTACCACTTAGTCTGCCGGTAAGATAGTTTTGACAGATTCTCAGGCCAAAAGAGGCACCCAAATAAACAAAACCCTACCATTCATGCAGCAGCCAAAGAGTACCCACGAACGAGGCGAGAAGAAAAGCATGACAACTATTCACATCAGTGGCGGCACAATACATTAGTCTCACAAACAAGTACAGAAAGCAGACAATAACATATGTCCACGCACATTGACGCAAAAGGCACAAAAAAAACCTCTATGATAGTATGCTAGAAGAAAGTGGCACAGGGATACGCACTGCGAATTCTTCAGTGCGTTGCATTTAACAACATGCGACGTCTACGTTGTCGAGCGACATAGAAGATTCTACTCAATCTACCGGGATCGTGTGCAAACGCTCACAACGCAGAACCATAGTTCGACATACAAATACCTTAGACACGCTTGCTTTAAGAAAATGGGATGGAAACAACTAACTCGTCAACAATAACAACCTCATTTCGACACAAGGTCACAACGCCTTTGCGATGCGACAAGTGTTCGCACAAGCACTTCTGAAATTTTACCGAGGCGTAGGCTGCATGTTGCTTCTACTGGCCAAAAAGACGAGCACACTGGTCGACCTATGAAGTTGTACGAGGTCAGTGCATTTGTAGCGTTTAGAACAGCAATGCTACCGGAGATGTTGATGGGTGTTTCTCTATGAAGCCGGATATACAGCCAAGACGACTGTCGTAACATCCCTTGATTGTAGTGACCGTGAAGCAAGATACCTGGAATGATTTCATTCAGCTCCGCTTCAACTAATGGCAATGTCAGTCGCAATTCTTCATGCCTTCGCACACTACATCTGGACCATTTGTTGGTCAGAAAATGTAGGACTCAGGATACCGAAAGAACTTGCGTTGCTTGAAAGCTACCGACATTCATAGATCTCTTGAATTCATTGACCTTTGGAGCTTAATAAGTCACATGCATTAAGTTCCCACTGCAATAGTGCCCACATGACATGTCAATAGCGCAGCATGCTTCTAAAGCGCTCACAAAGATTGCACTTCACTCGGCCGCAGGCTCATTTGTAGGGGCCAGTGGACTCACAGTCGGCACTCTGTGAGCACAAACTTAACCTAATAGGGACAGCGTGCACAGATAATTTCTCTAAAAACTGCCCTATGCATGTACACTGCTTAGCGTGTCTTACAAAGGCTGTAAGAGAAGCTTAGTCAGTTGAAAAAAAAAATCGCAACTCTACAGCGTATCTCATCATTGAAACCTACCCTTATGTTACGCACCGAGCATTCAAGTTCGTATATAAGCGTGGCGGAAGGTTTGTATTATCGAAGCGAACAGATGACATGCGAAAGGATAGTTATAAATGCCTAATGGAAAATACTGGCATCACAATTGTCTATATGCACGTGCGCTGTATTGTACAAGGAATCAACCAGCAAGAGCGCAGTGCGCTTCCGTCATACGCGCGTACCACGTGCATCGCCAGCGACACCGTACCACGTGTCGCCGTGATGTCGCGGCAAATAACTGCCACCCAGACGGCGCACATCTCCTGAGCCATGCATTATTATAGTTCACCCTTGCTTCGAGCGTCATAACCTATTAGAGTCCACTGTTCTCCATCGCTGATGACAGCAGTGCTGTCAATGATGGCCCGTGGCGTGTTATCAAGGAATTAGAGAAATTGTGCCGTCTGGGTGGCAACGCCGTAGTTTGGTAGGCAGTGTCATAAATTTCTTGTAAGCCAAGTAGGCTTGCTAATCAACCTGGGCTAAAGCCATGAAAGCGATGATGGCAAATCGGAAGAAAAACAGCCCAATGAAAGTAACACCGTAATGGACGATGGCTCACCTGCGTAACGTTAACTCTGCGCATCTGGCTCGAATACTGTCGCTAGGCTTAATTATATAGGCAAGCTATATAAACCAACGCAATTGTGCTGAAGTGAATAACAGGGACACATGCCATTTGACAAAGTAGACTCATTCTATTGGATGAAGTGCCGGACTAATATGGATCTAACTAGTCCAGAAGCACCTTACGGCTATGGATGGGGACATTTCCGTTCTAGTGCATTATTTATAGATACCCCATAGACACATGTTGCCAGATGCCGAATGTAAATGTTTTTGCGCTGTTTACTGTATAGTCTATAGACTCATAATCCCCTACAGACCGTGTATGCACTAAAGTCCTTCCTATAGATCAGCGAAAACGCATTTTTTCAAAAGACCGCTGACTTCCCAGGAAATGTATTATCCCTTCGTGGACCTCTAAGAATCGCAGTGAGTCGCGGTGCAGTGTAAGGCCGTGTCAAGCGTTTGGTCTCCTATGTATCCGTTTCATTCTACTTCTTGGCGGCTGCGGCGGCGGCACGACCAGCTGAGCCTGGCGCCGAAGCCCGGGTACAGGGCCTGTCCCCTGGAGACGTCGTCGTCGGTGAGGAAGGGAGCGTCCTCGACGCCAATGTTGTCGTTCACGTAGTAGAAGTCCCGGGCGTTCTGACACGGCACCGCCTCCTCCGGGAAGGAGCAGGTGAGCGTCAGCTGGTTGAACACGGTCTGGTTGCCGCAGAAGAAGCTCCAGTGGTTCATCTGCGGACGCAATGAATTGCCGTCAGAAAGGTTACCGAAGTGTGGTTGTTGAACATGCGAAAGAATAGCTTGCGCTGTCGCCATGATGTTACCATCTCAGAGGCCTAGCAGATCGAATATCTGTAGAATTCGACAACATTGCAAGTCTGCTGTAAAAGAGATGAACGCCTAGTGGTGTTGCGTACTTACGTCCTCGTGGCTGCCTCTTGTTTGTAGTGCTCGAGTACAATCACGTTGAGAAGGTACTTCCACTACCTTAGTTTGATGTTTCTATGGTTTTTCACGTATGTAATAGTTGAGTGCTGCACTGCGAAATATGTTTTGAGGTGAAGCACTCGACAAAGCTAACACGGGTGTACTATACAATACGAGGAGCTTTATTGCAACAGGTCACTGCACGTAACGTACAGCGTTAGGGTTAGGTGGTTGCCACAGCAACTTAGTGTTGGTTTTTTCTCCACACACAGAGGTATAGATGGCGAACCTTGGGTCACGTTTAAAGGTTACAGCATCGTAAGATGGCATCTGGCAATGCATAGTAAGATACAAACTTGCGAAATGAACGTATTCAAGAGTGAAGTACAATGAAGAAGAACGGCTATTTAGGCTAGTTGGTTGGAATTCACGGTAAAAATGGCTGCAGCGCGAGCACGAAGGTGCTAAAGGAAACGTGAAACGAAAGGCGAGCAAGGAAAGCAAAGAAGGACAATATGCCTCGCACCGACTGCGATCGAGTTTACGTGGGCGAAAAAGAAAATTTCGTGAAAAGAGTCGCGGGAAGTAACAAGCATCGACCAATAGTTTAAACAAAAACGAACAGGAGACACAAGAACAGTAACATAAAACAAAAGAAAACCGAAAGAACAAAAGAAAGGCACAACATTGTAAGGATGTGAATGAAACGATCGTGCTGTCCAACTCGTTACATATGAACTGCCCAGACGACTAACCATGCAAGTGAGTGGTACAGCGCAAATGTAAGCGACTAAGAGAGGAATTCAGCTCCGGGGTATCGCCATGAATCACTGGTAATTGAGGTAGCTGAGGAGACCGCCCTCCATCGCAACGATGAGAAATTTGAATTGCGCATAACAGGAATCGCTTTTCATTCATTTCCATAGTGAATAATGTTCCAGCGATGAAACCAAAAAGTATTTGTTTTTTTCTGGTTTTATGCGTGCCTGCGTTCAAGTTCTACTTCATGTGATTAAGGTCTTCGTCGCACAGTGTGCAACATGGTTTTGAAAAGATATAAGAAAGCTAAAGGCTTGCACAAAAACATGCTCAGTGCTAACTTCAGCAGCTGAAGTACGAGTCTTCCCTCTACTCACGAAAGACATCTTGCTTGCCCAACAGCAAACCACAAAAGCAACGATCGATTGTATAATACAGAATACTGAGGCATGTAATGTAGTAATACAGGTGTAGTGGTACACAACTAACAAAACTGACAGGGAACTAAACCGAAGGAATGTTCAAAAAGTCACAATATAGTGAATCCGAGTATACTGTCGCCATGTTCAGCTAAACAGCCCGCCGCGGTGGTCTAGTGGCTAAGGTACTCGGCTGCTGACCCGCAGATCGCGGGATCGAATCCCGGCTGTGGCGGCTAAATTTCCGATGGAGGCGGAAAGGTTGTAGGCCCGTGTGCTCAGATTTGGGCGCACGTTAAAGAACCCCAGGTGGTCAAAATTTCCGGAGTCCTCCACTACGGCGTCTCTCATAATCATATGGTGGTTTTGGGACGTTAAACCCCACATATCAATCATGTTCAGCTAAACAAAGAAGCTTCGGTCAATAACGCATAGGAAAGGCTCGCCATGAAATGCCAGACGTGTGTAAAGTTTACGCCCTGATAAGCTCATCGAAAAGGTGCCACTGAGATCAAAAAACGGCGTGTGATAGCCGCTCTAGTGAGAGTAGACAGATGACGTCGGCGCTCACAACGAAGCAGAAATAATGGCACCCGCCTTCACTGCTTCAACATCGGCGAAACAACGGCGCAGTCATTTCCCCCATCCTTGCATAGCTTCAGACTGCCAGGGAGGGCATTCAAATGAACATCGGCTGGTGCGGTTCAAGTAGCCATCACAATGCTGTCTCTTTCGTCAATTTTTAACCACAGTATTACCATAGAGTAACATAAAAATGACAAGAGTGGTCACTCTGTGGGCCAAAAAGCGGCTGAGCTACGCTGCTTCACCCCAGCCGTAAGATGGCAACACATCACTTTCTTATTCAAGGCAACGCGCGTACTAGTTATTTCTACAGTACCTTTTCTAGTGCATTACACATCTAAGTGTTTTTGCGTGTGTGATAGTGGCCTGAATCTGTCTTTATTGTCTGCGATTGCATGGTGCGATAACGTCGGGCCATGTATTACGCTTTGCGAGGTGATAGCGTGCTTCTGCAGACCATGTTTTGCGTTTGAGTCGCATGTGACGGGCATTGAAGTTTGAAAAAATGGCACTGTCTGCGCGTGGATCACCCCAAGTTAACTGAGATGCAATACAACCGGGTCACGTTTGCTGTACTGTTCTGACGTTGCAACGAGACCCATCGCCGAGTTTTCGCTTGCCAGAGGCATCGAGTGCGTTGCATCTGTTGCTACGAACAGCTGCAAATGTTACCGACGGGTAAGCCAACTTACTCTTCAAAATGAATTTCAATCTGTGTGCGTTTTGCGTCTCGCATTCAGTTCGTGATTATGCTTTACGCCAACATTCATAGCTTGTTCGTCTAAAAAAAATAGACTGCGGGTCTCAGTTTGGCTAACCTTGTGTGTTTAGGTTAAGGCTTAAATTCATTTTATGCTTCCATGCATTCGTACTGTTATAGGCAGTGTTGCCTACATTAATAGACGCTCTAGGCTGATATCTTCAGACATCGGGAAAAAGAAACCCTTATCAGGCTCTACTATACGTGCAGCGAGGAAAAAAATAGCTTTGTCACTGTATCAATCTTGATGTCACGAACAAGCTCGAGGAATGCTTCTGATGCCTAACTTGACCCAGAACAAAAAAGGCTGAAATTTGACTCCGGAATACTTTTGTCGGCATCATACAAGTTCTGAAGACGAGCTCTGAATGCACACTAACTCATTAGTTCACCTAGCAGCTTGGGCCATCTTTTGTGCCTTCGGCACTAGTAGATGATATTGAGGGGCTTCTGTGTAGTTCAGCCTCTCCGAACACCGCGTCTTTGGCAATTTTTTTTTGATTGCGACTAAAATATTTTCAGAACGCAATTGTGTCATCACACAGTAACTCCTTTTCTCGACCCTTGACGCAACACCTATCATCTTAGTGTGCATGGCTCGCTAGTCAGAAATATACCACATTTTTGACTAAATATTTATCTTCTGTCTTATCAAACGCACGTGCAGTATGTGCGTAAGCCTCGCCTACCTGTTCACTGCCGTCGGCGAGCACGACAGGGTGGCAGATGTGGAAGATCTTGCACTCGTTGTCCGTGTCGGCGTAGTATCCATAGCGCAGGCCCGCGCAGCTGAAGCTCGTCTGGTAGCTACCGACAATCAGCTCCGCGCCGTCTGGGAGCTCGTACGCGGCGCGCTTGGAGCGCCTGGCCGCCTCCTTCTGCGCATGCGCGTTGACCGTGCACAAATTAGCACCGTTGCAACTGAAGGCAGCGGGTGTGTTCTAGCGGTAGCCAACGCGGAAGGCAGTCGTGTACCTCGACTACTAAGACATATTCGAGTCCACGTAACGTATTGCACTTGGGAGATGTTGGAACTGCGCGCCAATGCACGTCTAGAAGAACGCATTCTATGAAGTTGTCGTTATAGCAGCAATAAAGAATTTCGTGTGCGCTAGCACTCTAAATGAAAGAGCGCCACTTAGCATGATGTACCCTGTGAAAGGGCATCATTCTTTCCTACACTATGATTTATCCTCTACCTGTCGGTGTTTGTGGAATAATTTCTTTTGCTATGAAACAAGGCTATAACAAACAAGGCTATGAAGAACTGTGAAAGAAGGCTAAGAAAGCAGTGTCCGTTTAAATTCAAATTTGTTCCCGTCCTGTCCCTGGCCCATGAATGAGTAAGCTAAATTCAAACTAGATGGTGGGCCTTTCTTCTATGTGTGTTTTTGATTAATCGTGACAGAGTAAATTCTCCCCAATAGAACAGGTGGGAGTTACTAATAGTAACAAGAATGGCCTCTACATATCATTACCAACGTTTTCTGAAGTACGTCGTTGTGAAGTTCAGAGAATTAAAAGTTCGATCGTGAGAGGGTCATAAATGTGCAAGTACTGATGTTGAAGCTAATGAGATGCCTTTAGCGTATTGTTATGGTAATCGAACTGCCAATACTCTAACGGTTCCAGCACCAGAATAGACGCATTAGTACAAAGCGGAAGAGAGCGCAAGTCCTTCTAAGTAGCCCAAGACAAACTGCTTCCAAGGAATGTCGCACATGGCTGAATAAGAGAGTCCGTGGCAATCACCCGTCTTGTACATCAAGTCGAGGTCGGAGAATGGTCCACTGGGAAGGTAGTGGCATTGTGCTCTAATTAATTACCGGGCCGACCATCTGCCTTTCGAGGTCAGCGATGCTTGGGAAAAAAATTAGCGCGGCAGTTGGTGTGCGACCCCCGCGACACCGCCGAGCGACGTGGCGGGCCTATTCTTCTTCGGTGACCTCGGCCTGCCGTTATTGAGGTAGCCGCTGCGAACGCCGCAGTGCGGTGGTTCGTTCCTGTTGTGTGCAGTGTCACAGAAGACTAGTAAGGTAGGACGTAGTAGTACGAAATTCGGGGGGGGGGGGGGGGGGTATAGTCTGACTTAATGATCCAGACATCCTTCGATGTTCGTGCGCCATGTCGTTCGCACGCAGCCACTGAGCGGCCAGGTTCCGATTGGAGACAGTGAGGACGTGTCCAACGAAAGTGGCTGAGTGATACGGCGTTCCGGTTCGATGCATCTTACAAGTGTCAGGCAGGACGTTCGTTACCCCGTTGCACGCAATTCCCGTCAGAGAGTATAGTTGGCGTAGAGGTTATCCCTCACAATGGCTCCGGCGCGACGAGTGTGCGCCACCTTCCGGAGATAATTGTCCAATTACGCATCTCTGATATTACGGAAGCAGCCATTGCTGCTCAGCGCTTCTTTTTCCTCTCCTTTTTTTCCCTTCTTTGGCAGCTCATGCGAGTGTAAAGCCTGCATGTAGCAGCCGGCCTCATGTGCGCGGTGTCTCGTCAAATCCCGCGAAGATTGCTTGCGAAGAAAGGGATAGTGGCCGACGCTGGCGGCCTGGCGCAACTGCGGCGGCAGGCACTAAGTAGCGATGAAGGAGAAGCGTGTATACAGATACACACACAATGGTCGGGTAAGAAGCGCCGAGCGTGCGCATTCCTATAGGGCGAATGGCGTGATTGCTTCGTGCCCGGGCCATTCATTAAACGAAGCCTACTGGGCATTCCCGTGTGGTGCGGTGCGTCTTTCTCACCTTCCGTGCAGCTCACATCGGTTTCTGTGACGACAAGCCAGACTTGCCTCGTTGCGTAGCGCTTCGCTATCTTCACGAGCTCCTCGCATTTCGTCTCGCTTAAACTGACGGCGTCGCGTATGTATTCGACGATTGCACGGTGATATTAGTGTAGTAAACATATTTTTGTTTTTCTTGTTTCAGGCGTAAGGCCATCTGAAGTCAGAATCACTGACGCCTCAAACGATGCTCCTAAACGGTGCTTGAATTATGAAGATACAAAGCCTCTTGTGTCACTTTCTCTTGGCTTTTACACAAGGTACATGTTTACTTAAAATTGATGCTCAATACTGATTGAGATCAACTTACGAATGAAATAAACCATATTGGTACAAGCCTACGGGACTTTTGACGAAGTGAGACAAAGGAAAAAGAAGTGACAGGCTCATGGGCTAAGCCTTCCTCATCCATCATCCCGCCATGTAAAATTAAACATCTGTCACCGTTACAATACTGACGAAAACAAAGGGAAACAAAGTTATTTTAAAATGTGAATTTGGGTTCTGACGTGACACATATATATGGTCATTTTTTTCTTATGAACAGCCGTCATATTCGTTCTGTTCAAGACAAGAACAGGTAGACCTTAGCGACTGAATACACGTAGCCAAAGATTTTTACATAGCTTGAATTCTTGCAGGAGCGAAAGGCAGTGTGCCGGTGGCCCTTCGAGTTGATTGAAATTCAGCGTTCATTTCGACGGCATTTTCGAGTGATGTTTAACTAAATCTTGCACTTCCCCTTGTGTGGCAGCTTCGGGATAATTACGGAGACACTTCAATGGTTTCTACCCAGCCCTCACAGAGTCCGCCTCGGTGAACCAGTAGTTAGGGTGCGCGGCTGCTGAACCAAAGGGCCCCGGGTTCGATGCCGGCCGTGGTAACTGCATTTAGATGGAGGCGATAGGGCACAGGCCCATGCACTGAGCAGTGATGTCAGTGTACGTTAAAGAACACCAGATGCCCAACATTTTCCGGAGCCTTCCACTATACACGTCTCTCGTAATCATATCTTGGTTTTAGAACGTAAGAGCCCACAAATTATTATTACATCCCCCACAGAGTCTTCGATGGTCTATCCAGGCCTGAAACCGCGATTGGCTCGCATCCAGTAAAAGGAACGCGCACAGACGGGGGAGGTAATGGCACAGCAAACACGCTTCGTCAAGGTCTACGCTGTCTTCTAGGTTTCCTCATCGGTGTCTTTCGCTCGTCAGCAGTTGCCAACTGGTTTTCGCAACATCCGCACTTTTTTTAAGGCTTCTTATTTCTTGGTGTCTGATCATGGCACTTGTTCACACAAAGCACTTGTCGCCCGTGTCTTGTTGGCGATCTCGATGAGCCGTGTATGCGCAGCGCTCTTGCACGTGCGTCCTCTTTAAAGGAGACGTAGGAGCTGTGGAGCCCCACATGACTCCACGAGAATCCGCGTAGATAATTCATTATCCATTTCAATGGCAAACAGAATGACAACAAAAAAGAGGGAGCAGGGGGATGTCCCGGTTCGACGCGGAACCCCATCGACGCGTCCGTCTCTTTTACGAGGTGCGAGTGCGTGTCCATTATCGTCGATGACGCGATGACGTCTGGGATTAAAAGGAAGCATCGTAAACTTCATCGAGCGCAGTTCGCACGTTGAGGACGCGTATTCACGTGAGCGCTGTGCTTTAAAGTGTGCACGTAGCGCTAAACTGCATCAGGGGGAGCCGATCCGTGGGTCTGTACTGAAACGATTAAGTAGCGCTTTCGAAAAAAAAAAATTATGAAAGACGTTCATCACCGTCTTTAATTTGTAAAATGGGAACCTTGGGAGTTTGGCATAGTTTGGCTGGACAGGCGACTGGCATGGTGTATGTTGTAGGACGTGACGTCATGTAATCGAAGAAAAACGTTATCGGAGTCCTGCTTCTGCGTAGGTGGGGGATAATTTGATGTGGCTTCACCACGCAGATGTTAATCGTAAGTGGCACTTTAATAATTCTCACACGCGGTAGTCATGAAGAATGAAATTGAGTTAATAGAGATTAATGAGCAGCCACACCTCTAAGGCTCCTCATACAGCTGCAGGCTGTGTCATTACAACTAGTCATTCGTGTCTCGCTAGGAGCGTTTTCGTGAACGTTTTCTTTCTCCACGGGCGACGTACGCGGAGTAGTTTGATGGAACGCGAGTGTGTGACATTCCTGTAGCATTTGTGTCACGTTATCTTATGGGCTATTTCGACAAATTAAAAATCGCTGAAAGACAGGCTTTGGGAGAAGTGTTCAGCCTTTCATTTCATTGCAAGTTTTAAATTTGTACGCCTTCATGTAATTCTAGCAATACATAATTTCAGCGACCGTACGCGTTGTGTTACTCTCTAATATACAAAAGAAAATCCGTCTATAAAAAAAAGTAGCTCACACGAAGCTGCCTGCTACAAGCACCACGGCCTCTTAAGAAAGTTTCGCAGATCGAGAACGTTTGTTGTGGTTTTAGATTCGAACGTTCTATCACCACCGTAACGGCTTATTCTTCCCTTATCTATTAATCGCTGCTTATTAAAATCATTAAGTGTTGCAGTACTCAGCATAACCAAACACTTACATCTTGTTAAGCTCTGTGGTGTATAAGTTGCATTCACAGTACGAATAAACTTACCTTTGGTATAGCTATCGCGACAGCTAGGCAGAGGGCACCTGCAATTAAAAAAAATGCATTAGCAAAGTATAATAGGGCGCGCCAGAAAAAGAGTTCACACAAAATGTAATGTGCACATGGGAAAGTATACCAGCGTTGCTAGGAATGGTTCAATGTTATTCAAGTTGCACAGAAGTCCTTTCCATGCCCTCCCCTTTACATCAACGTCTTTCTCAACATTTTCTTTAAAGATACAGGAGTGCTGAGTGATAACATCATGTTTTTTTTTCTTTTTTTCTTCTTGTTTGCTCCATTGTAGAGCAATATGTCTGGTAGCGGCTGTTGTCGCTTTCTTTTTCCGTGCGGGAGCAGGCAGGGCGTACGCTTCAAGAATTGATAATCGAAAAGATTAGGCATAAATACTCGACATGCGCTTTACTCGCGTCTTCCCCTTCCCGTTTCCCTTTCTCCTTTCCTCGCCGTCCTCGCTCTTTCTGTTTTGGTCTGTGCGACGAATACGTCTATCTGTGCGTGCGCTCAAAGAGACGCATACGTACTTGCGGCAGGCAACCACTAAAGGATTCATTGCGACGCAGTCAAAGGATCTTTAATTGGTGCAGAATTCATTCGGTCTGGAATGTATCGTATTTGGTCACTTTCGAGGCGCAGAATACAGGTCTCTTAAATTTCTTTTAGTTTACACACACACACCACACAGTTGTGCAGCCGTAGACGACCGAGTGCCGAGATCAGAATGAAAGGCCAACATTGGAAGCGCATGAAACTAACTTCTCTAACAATTAAAGTGGCTGTTGCGGTGGGATACTACTCGGGATACCTTCTTTTTGTCGTCTCAGAGAACCCTTGCAACTGTAACGATGAGGTGTAAGGCACCGACAAGAGAGAGAAAATACAGTAAAGGCGCGGTGGCAGGCTAACTAGATTATGCCGCTTTTGCTACCCTATGAACGAAAAGAGAAATGATAAGGTCAAACAGATAAAGAGAGAGAAACAAAGCAATCAGTGCACACATTTCCCTAACGTGCGCCCGGAGTGCACTGTGTCACCGGTGATCGCTGAATTTGTTGGCAGCGAGAAAGCTCTTACGTCTTTAGAAAAAGTGTTTAGAGATTTTGAGCTCTTCGTACTTGGCTATGGAAGAACATGTGAGCTGAACCTATGTAGTGTTTACAATACGTCCCTGCACAGTCTTTACAAGAAGCTTACCAAGGTTTAACCATCTATGCTGATATGCTGTGAAACGAAGCTTCCAAGTTATTTCCTTGAGTAAGAGGTTAATCATCAGGCCTCCTCACAGCACGCTGGCGAGTTAGGCGATTCTGAGAAAATTGGGCACAATAGACTTATAATGGGAACGATTAAGTGATTACAGAGTGAAAAATATGGTTGAGTTGTCGCTTACCTTCAATTTATCAAATATATTTTGCACTTTCAGGAGCTCATTTCGCGTTAATTATTCGCCTAAGACCGCGCGAACACTGGCTGTGCTAACACATTCGTGGTTGATCTGACTTCTTTGGACATTGCACTATCCGGGAGAAACGTTCTTAATTGTTCTTTCGTGCTGAACAAAGTGAACGTCCGTTCTGAAGCCGGTCAAGTTCGGATGGTTGTCTTGATTGCAGTCTGCAGTCCACTCGCCCCATCTCAGGGCAGCAAGCTTGGGTCTGCCGCTATCAGCTGTATATAAAAGTCTGCAAATAATTGTGGCTCAGATTGCTCTTTTGCAGGATACTAAAGTCAAGACGTGTTCGTGGTGCATTCGAAGTGAACTGTTTTGTGGCCTGTGTGAGGATGCTTTGCTAGCTTCCGACGCAAAGAATGCGCAAACACCGAGAAACGAGGACCTCAATACGAAATTAGAAGTTAGCACGACGATTTCCCGTAACAATCCAACACAGAGTTCATTCTGTTCATGGTTTAAAGAGCGAGGAAACATCTTGCCAGTGTATCCTTTTTTTGTCATGCTCGTAACCATTTCACCCATAAATATACACCTTATCTCAGACAGGTTGGCATTGACTATAGAGCAGGTTGTATGAAAATAATCAATAGGTCAATTTCGTGCGCTCCCAAAGAAAGCTGCAGAACATCTCAGTAAGACGTTGAAAGTCATTCCTGCTCCTCTATAGGGACGCTAAAAGCAAAGCTATTTTCCTCCTATTAATTAAGCACAATTTCCGAATACCGACAACGCCACTATTACCGCGAAGTGACGTTTTGTACAGCGAGAAAACGCTCGTAAAAAAAAAAATATGGGTGGGAACGCCCCTTCGTATTTTTCGCACCAAACTCCATGACGTCATGAAGTTTGAAGAGTTCATATCTTAAGAGCTCCTCTGCTTCGATGTTATCTTCAAGTGAGGCCAACTATTTAGATTTATGATTGTTATTTTTTGATACGCATACTGAAACATGCAAGTACACAGCTCAATTGGCAGGTACCAGGCCGACAACTTTAATCCGAAGGGGCACAACGCCTGGCTACTTTTGCCTACGATGGCCTTGATTGTATTCCAATTAGGCCGACTCTGTCGGCGGCTTTGTGTCCAACGCGGACATTTATCGTACATGTCCTTGATTACTAAGCAGCATCACGATTTCCTTGTTCGAGGAACTAACTATGTACGCTCTGCACACGCTGCGACATTCGAGCTGATCCGACGACACGTTCCGTTTGGCCATCGCGCATCTACACGACAGAGGCCAGCACACGCGAGCGAAATTCGCTGGGCTAATAAAAAAACTATCACTAAAAAAAGACTAAAATAACTAGGCACAGAAACAACGAGCAGAAAGTTCGAGAAACAAGAGGACGTAAGCACCGACTCAGAAAGTGAAGAACAAAGCATCGGATTGTAATCGATGCTACGGGTGAAGCTGACGCAAGTCTGGGTATTCCAGAAATCATTCATCACTCGAATTAGAAAGTGAGCTTTGAACTGTCCATGCCAGATGCTATTCGCCCGACTCTAATAACGAAGCCAAGTCATTAACGAAAAAGGCAATCATGCGTGCGAGGCCTGGATGAGGAAAGTGGGAACACCAATATGAATACAGCCCTCGCAAGCGGCATCATCAACCTTTTGCGCAATGAGAAATAACGGGCCTCATCCACTCTCTTCTTATTTCCTTCCAGCTGGTCAGTGAGCGGAGCGGAGGTTGAGCGGCTTGACCGATCAGTGAGGCCACATGTGTGTACGCTATTTCCTTCCTGCTTGCACAATGGAGAAGCGCCCATCAGCACAGTTCATGCTGAGGCCGTTATAGCTCTCTCTGACGGTCCATAAAGTGATTGGAAGTATAATTGAGTTGAGAGCAGATACGATCTGGAAATATTAACGGGAAACTCTGTGTGTGTGTGTGTGTGCGTGTGTGCGTGTGTGTGTGTGTGTGTGTGTGTGTGTGTGTGTGTGTGTGTGTGTGTGTGTGTGTGTGTGTGTGTGTGTGTGTGTGTGTGTGTGTGTGTTGTATGGACACGATATGCCGTAACAAAGGCCAGTTGTTACGAGGAAAAAGTGTGAATGGTCCTGTGGTCCCTGTTGGGGCTGCGTGATCATTCGGCAAGAAGTGTGGGACAGCGGGAGACGAAACTCCTCTTGTATACCCTCGTTTAGGTTGAGTATAGGCATTGCCCTTCTGGAAGCGGCTCATTGCGTCGCGTCGCAATTATAGAACTTCGGCACTTTAACTATATTATAGCGGCTTTGGCGGCGGCTTAATGATGTAGCGACGCGAAGCTTGTCTAGGTGCATCGCAATACTCTCTATGCATCAAAACACATTTTCAACACGTGTGTAAACGGGTATTTTGAACTATGTATATTAAGATATCTATACATTTATAACTCTAGGGTATTCAACTAAGATAAACGCGGCGCAGTCAAATATAAAAAAATTCGGCAGATCCCACGTACCTGGGAATCCTCGTTATGTGAAGTGTATGGAGGTGATCATGTTGCAATTTTTTTAGAGCGACACGTCATAAAACGACGGTGAAATGTATGTACAAATGTTGCACGCACAGACGTATGCTGAAGAGTTGCAGATGTTTATATAACCAGTTGTTTGGACTTACGCAACGATGCCAACTGGAACATGCGTATTAGCAATGCCAGAAGCTTATATGAAGCGCTAATGCTCTCAAGCATGGTGGTCCTCGACACTGCTGCATGGATAAGTCAACTTCAGCGCATGGCAACCAACCACAATCGACGTTAACCTGACGTGTCGGCTGTATCAAAGGAGTACATATGTAGTGTTTATCAAATTGGGTAGGCAGCACTGCAACCACTATTGACGTTTCACAAAGATTAGCGTTCATTTGAAAAGTAGTTCCGAAACCTGGCGTAGCTCTGTGGTAGAATGCTTCATTGCCACGCAGAATGTTTGGGTTGGATTCCAGCTGGCACCCTGTCATTCATTATTTGCATTCGTCAGGTTGACGCTAGCGACGTCAAGTATTTCTAACGCTCGTGCTTTAAAATTGCCGAACATATAGTGGTTTTGGGACGTTAAACCCCACATATCAATCAATTAAAATTGCCGATGTGTGTTCTCATTGTTCCTGGGTAGATACTAAGTGTCTATCAAATGTGGCCCATACCCACATACAAGCGGAACATACCCGCTGGTGGGTACGTACCACTGTCTGGCGGAAAGTGTTTGACGACGTACGCGATGGGATTGTGACATTACTCGTGTCTTGACCAGCGCTTCATATTCGTAGAACCAACTTACCCTCCCATGCTAATTTTGGTTCACACCAAGTGAAGGGGGTGACCACGAGAACATTTAAACGTAAGCGGCTAGATAGATAGATAGATAGATAGATAGATAGATAGATAGATAGATAGATAGATAGATAGATAGATAGATAGATAGATAGATAGATAGATAGATAGATAGATAGATAGATAGATAGATAGATAGATAGATAGATAGATAGATAGATAGATAGATAGATAGATAGATAGATAGATAGATAGATAGATAGATAGATAGATAGATAGATAGATACGCTCAAAGTCGCCGAAATTCGCTGAGAAATGCTTCGCATTTAAAATGTCTCGACCTCCAAAAAAATAAAATCAAAAGCTTGATTCTCAATCACTCGCAGGATATCAATATGCAGGACAGTACGCATAGAATCCATGCTTGAGAATGATTTGGCTTGGGCTCTTTCCTGTGACGTAAAGTGGGCTTGTGGCTATTATTATTATAACGGATAATAAATAACACTATTTGACAATCATAAGTGCGTGTTGAATGCCGGCGTGCATCCTGTCCTGTGGTTTGTGTACACTTGGGATGGCTTTCTGCTCTCCCATAGTAGAGCACCAAGTACTCTAAGTCGTTTAACACTTTTTCTAAACACATTCTTTCTGCCTCTACCAGTTATATACGAGCATGGTGGTTTGGCAGCGAATGCTGTGTGATGCTATATCATAAGCAGTTGATAAACGTTTCCATACATTCGCACGATATACCATTGTCTCGCTGTGAGGCCTTATATAGATGTTACTTCCTTCTCCAAATCCATATAACTTTTCGGGTACGGTTTGCTTACTGCGTCCGATCGGGCTACCAAAACCATGTCATCTGTTCATTCCGCTGCTCTTGTAAAAGTGTATGTGCAACTGGTAACGTCGGTGTCGATAATATTGAAAAGAGAGAAAGAATATAAATAAGGTAAGGAAGTTAACTAGACTAACGCACACACACACACACACACACACACACACACACACACACAAACACACACACACCCACACGCACGCACACACACAGTGCAGGGTTTCACAGGAGGTCGCTAAGTGATGTTGCCTTCAAAAATTGTGTGAGGGCTCGTGTGGATTTCTGGGCTAATGTACTGTGAGACCATGCACCCAAGGCCTCTTCCCGAGTTAAGGGACTGAAGAAGTGAACCAGGAAGTTTAAAAGCGGTGGAGAACGAACGGCTTTGCTTTATTCCTATACCGCGCAGGTGAAGTAATGATGACGTTCAGGAGAAAAACATGCTTTAAGAGTACGCGCGCGTTCAAACTGACGTGCATGTGCATACGATCCAGGCGTCCCAGTGCTCGCACTTGCGCCAGCACCCCCAGGCTGCACCACGGAGGAAGCGCAGGTACGGCAGCGGGTCTCGCAACTAATTGCGTCGGTCCAGGAACCACGTCCGTTAGCCCACCGGTTCACGCACTCCATTGTCTGCAACCTCACTGCGCCTGCGTCTCTCTTTCGCCTTCTCTCGGACCCTATAGAGTGCCGCTGCTCTCTACTTCATGGCTTCAACTATCATTCTTCTTGGTCGCATTCCCCGTTCAATCAAACTAACCTCTGTATACCGTAAGCTGCGATTCTGGTATCGTCAACTATACACACGGCCCGCAGCCTCCAGCACGACCACTATACCTTCATTTTCCTTTCCTTCAACTCACTACCGCCCGCGCAAAGGAAAGAATGATTTAGCCTTACGCTCGCGCGGTCATTAAAAAGTCCCACAAAAATACCGGAGCCCTCGCGTACCGCTTGACATGCGGGGCCGTGAGCGAATACTTCTTGAGTCCATCGCGTGCGGCTCCGTCTCCAGACGGAGGGGCTGTTCGATTTTGTCACCCCGATATATATTTTCACTCACGCATTTTTTTTTTCAGCCAAGTGGCGTGTGCGAGCCACGCCAAGGCAACTATAGTCTTTTCGACAGTGCGTACACGCTGGCATTGCAAATGGTGTGTTTATACGTTTGGAGTATTGGTGAAAAAAAAAAAAGCAAGGGAAGAAAATGAAAATTGCGATTTATGCATAAGCTGCTGTATTCGCCGAGATACAGGTGACCAGCAACCTCTTGTCAATGACCTTAGGCCATGCCATAGGCATACATGCCTTTGTAGTAGTATGTAAAAATGGCAGTAAGGAATAGCTGGAACGTTTTGATAAAAAAAAAAAATCCGTGAAATGGAGCACACAACCGCTGTTCACGGATTTCTGCAATAGTAGTAGTAAGTCAGCCAAACGCGTCAGATTCACTGTTTCAACTAACTATTCAACGCTTTTAGCCGCATCACAGTCTCATAAAACAGGCCAATGTAACCACAATTTCATCCGCTAAGTGTCGCTCGGAGCTCCAAAATAAACGGACACTGTACTTACGCTGGTAGTCATACCCGAAAATAGCACGTGAAACTCGGATCATTCACACACGCCCAGCACTAAAGCATTGCGAGGTCGAAGGAGGAAGTATAGAACTTCGCAACCGAGGGAGACGTTTCTAAATCACATTTCCGTGGGTACTGCTGAAGCCAGCCGCAACTTACCAAAGGCGATCAGTGTGGCCTTCATCTTGGCGTTGCGGGTGATTGAACGATCACTCAGGTAGTTAAATCCCTTCGGGTACTTCCTCTCTCCTAGCGAAGGGCGGGAACCTGGAACATGAAGAATAAAAACCATAAGCGAAAAGTCAAAAGGTCACGCAAGATCCAGCTACGTCGCGTTTACGAAGAAAACGAAGCTAACGCGACTCAGCGTAGCGTATAGGCGGCTATTGCTGTAAGTGCCGATGCGCCAGCTCGTATGTATTTCATCAAAAGCGTGCAGCACGGCAGAAGTCATACGGACACAAATCGGAAAAACCCTCAAGGCATCAGGCGTAGAGTGAAGTCTTGCCTGGATTGTGCACGTCCCTTTATTTCACTGACGTAAGATACTGAGTCACTTAAACGTGTTTGCCTCTCTCTAACTGATTTGCGCAGTACTTGGGAAGTAAAAACAGCGCAAATATATAGACGAGTACAGAGGAAGAGACGACACCGCGGCGCTGAACTCGCAACTAAACTTTATTGAAAGATACACGTTCATATATCAAGCATTCGACCCGGTCACGTGGACAACAAAAGGCGTCTGCGCATCAAAGCAAACAAGGTATGAAACAAGCCTAATCATATATGTGCGTGTATCTTTCAATAAAGTTTAGTTGCGAGTTCAGCGCGGTGTCGTCTCTTCTTCTGTACTTGTCTATATATTTGCGCTGTTTCAACTTCCCAAGTATGAACCACCACCTAGCCCAACTTTCGCTACTATTGCAATGATATGTGCAGGCTGTACTTGGAGATTATTGGGTAGTTGCTGCAACGATCAGCGCAATTCTGAATCGCACCATTTGTTCCATGGCACTGCATGGTTTTTGTTAAAGAACGCCGTCGAGACGAAAATCGAAGGGAGGCATATCGCGGCTACCTTTAAGAACCATCATAGTGTTTGTTGAGAGAGACTGATATTGTTCAAAGAACTGTACGCGAACACTTTTATTGCACTCGTAATACCCATGAATTTCTACAGCCCTGGTCAAAAGTTCCCAGGCCACGCTTGCCTATTATAAATGGGATAGTAGCCTGAGACCTTGCCCCCCCCCCCCCCCCCCCTGTATGTTTACGACCGCTCACAGTGAAATGCTTCACTCTGCTAAGCACTTATTTGAGAAGTTTTTCTTAGAAAAAAAAACTGGTCTCTTGTCACCTTTAACTTTGCATCTGCATGTTGTGCACTAAACACTGCAAAAATTTACGACGAACACAAATTAAGCCTACAAACAGTAAGTCACACCCATACCGCCAATACTCAGCGGTTTCTTCGCGAAGGGTCGTAGGGGTGCGCCAAAGTGATGGAGGGAGAAACATCACGATCTGATTGGCAGCTCGAGACATATTTGTCGCGTTCCCAACAGAGAAAGAAAAGCAACATGGTGTCAGCAATGACTCAGTGAAGGAAAGCACCTATAGCAACTATAGCATCTGCGCTTGCACAGCGAATCATATCGCGGTGTGTAAGCAGCATCAGCACACGTTTCCTTTCGGCACGACTGTATGGCCACGGTAAATAGCTCTGTCGTGCAGACAATGCGTGCGGAAATGCTTTATACGGAACAGGCCGAGCATGGCGACGTGTATCTGTGCTCCACGTGTTGGCGGTGCGCCGAAAAAAAAAATGAAGGTTCGCGAGCGGGGTTATTTAAGGAAACTTCCTGTTCTTTTTTCGTTGCAAAATCTCCAATGGCGTCTTCAATCAGTCGAAGTGCGTGCTTCATTTCGCGGTCGTCAAACGTGACAGGTACGCATGGAGGTTGTTTGGCTACGACACCCGTTTTGAAAAGAGCCCCGTTTCGGACGTGATTGTGCCGGTACAAGGGAAGTAGCTCATTGGATTGGGCTCGCTTTTTGTGCTTCTAGTCGACTGTGTCAATGCGTTGAACGGGAAGGTGGTGGAGCGCTGGCATGGGCCTTGGCGAATAGGCCGTTCTGGTTTCATCCTAGACCGGATGCACGAGTAACCAGGATAAACACGCTGGAGCCGCTAGAAAAAGGCGGAAGACGCCGGAAATGACGACGTGTGTTAAAAAAAAACTATAAAATCTTCTTGGAAGGCACAATTGGTGAAGCTGCATTTATCAAATAAGGTGGACGAACACAAGGCTAGAACTTTCAAGTACACTGTCCACCCACGCCTTTGCACTTGGGAGGGCAAAGAGGCGACTAGATAGAGGAAGTTTACTCGATCGAACTTTCTGGTTGACCACGCAAAGCTACCAATAGATCAATGATTCAGCCATCAAAAGCTGTACACAAGGGCCTGGATGTACTTGCTTTGCTACCAGTTAACCAGTAATGCGTTATCCGTGTTATCAGTTTTTTTTTAAGGACTGAAGGAGGGAAAGTGATTGAACGTGTCTGAAGTGCATATAGATTAGTACTGGTACGGCGTTCCTGATTAATATTGGCAAAGTGAGCTACGTTGTACTAAAGTAGGTTTCTCTGGCATTCTTGCATTTCGGTGCCATTGAAATACAGCTGACAGCACGTTTAAAAGCAGAAACTTTATCAGCGGCATAAGGCTTAGTTACCGCAATGCGAACATTTCACTTGCCTCTACCTATTCTTTCTTTCTTTCTTTCTTTCTTTCTTTCTTTCTTTCTTTCTTTCTTTCTTTCTTTCTTTCTTTCTTTCTTTCTTTCTTTCTTTCTTTCTTTCTTTCTTTCTTCAACGGCGTCGAGCAGCATTGAACAGCACTCACTGAAAAGCACTGAATCACAGAAACTTACTTTGCCTTCGTCCGAGTGTTTCGACGAGACAACCTGTCTTTGCCGACGCAACTATTTGAAAGTCCCCTGAAATATCTCCCCGTGTAAGAGGTGTGTCTGTTTAAGCGCTGCCATGGGTGAGCTCTGTCGCCTTGACACGGGCAAATCCTACACACTCTCGGGAAGCCGACACTGCCGCTGAGTGCCTTTCGCTTCTTTTTTGATAACTGTGTTAGTCTGTAGAATTTGATCCAAAAAAAAAAAAAACCTGTGACTTTGAAGCATGTCTTCGTCACCAAAACGATGTGGATGCATGAATTAAAAACAAACAAATGTAGTACGCAAGTTGTCAACACTCATAAAGGTGACATTTAGTCTCGCGAGAGTAGCGTTTGTAAATAAACAAAAATCTTTCAGGATTCAAAGGGCTGATCCAGGCATCCACGTAAATGGATGTTCATACGTGCAATTATGCTTATTCGTTGGAACATTACTTGAGCCATCCTCTTTAGCCTTATTTTTTCTATACTTTAATAGGGATGTCGACTGTCTATCACAACTTTCTTGGCTTTAAGAGAACTTGTTGTTCACTTCTTGCAGAGCATGCTTAAGGTCATACAGTGAAGCTCATTCACTCACTAAACAGTTAAAAAGATTCGCTGTAACTGCTACGTTACCGTGCGCAGTGACTAAAGATCATTGTCGTTCTAGCGCAGGCTCTTAATATCCGACGCTATGAAATTTGTCAAACATTCCCGCGAACGCACTTGCAGTGATGTAAGTTTACGAAAAATATCCTGAAAAAGTATCTGCCTACTTAGGCAACGAAAGAAACCGCAAAATTTTCGGCATATTGCAAGAAATTCATGATCGCTGAAATTTCGCGCAATTCACTCGTGTCGCAAGAATCTTGCATAGTGACCCTTATGTGTTCGCATGCTCCAGTTTAGTGTTACACAAAGTGAAATAATTTAGCACTTAACCTATTAAGCTCTGCAGATTATTTCTTTTTCTCTCTCCTTCTTTCGATTTCGTGGTATAGTCGCACTCAGCATGGGTAGCAACACGCTGACTGGGGTTAAAGGGACCTCAAGCCTCAACAAAGTAATCGACAAACACTAAAGTGGTTCGGAAAGTACCGCTGACTGAGAGAATTTGATTCAGCAATTTATATCCATTTAGGTGCAGATTTGCGGTGTAAGCGCCGTTTCGAGCATAGACAGCGTGTTTCAATTCATGTTGAGTGCGACTGTAATGACGGTTAACTGCGCACCAGCAGAGCTCATGGCATTTTGCTGCATCGTGACTTCTTCTTTGTTAGAATTCATTTTTTTTAATTTTCCAGCAACTCGCCGCTTCTTATCATTTACTGTGCAAGAGCCGATTTCTCGGTAATTTCATAATGGCTAATTTAAAGATATCACAACTTAGCTCCCCAGTCCGCTTTGAAACTCGTTCCATTCAAGGCCCTCGTTTCCCTTGCGAAAGCCTAGTTTGGTAATTGTCTAACGGTAATTACTTAATAGCCACTTTCAGAAAGATTAGAAACTCTACAAGTGCAGACTAGAGAGGCATACACGGTGAACACCTGTCGTTGATCGAGTGAAGTGAGGAAAATGACGCGTAATTTAAATCAACAACCGCAAAGAAAAGTTATGTCATCCAAACTCTTCCGGCGACGTTCAACAAGTGACGGTTGCACTGCTTCCTGCATGCCTACCAATAACAACGGCTGTTTTTTTTTTTTCGGTTCCTTTAAGCGAACGCTTCCGACATGGGGCAGGAGCGAAAAATAGAATGGGACGTCGACGAAGACGTTTCGGCTTCATCCTGACAGCCAGAGCGAAAGACACGGTCGCGAAACAAAGCGCGTCACCAAATGCTCTTGAGAACCGAAGAAAGGAGAAGTGTCCCTCGAAAGAAGTCTTCAATCACGCCGAGCGAAAAGGCGTACCAACTGGATCCTCGTTGTGTTTAAATATACACGCCCATGGCTTCGAAAAAAGCCGGTCTCTCTCTTCATTCTCGCCCCCGCTGCCCTCGGCCATTTCCTGATCAGCCCATGCGCTTCTCGCTTCCATGTCTGCCGCACCGTCAACCTGCTGCTCGCTCGCAGTGCAGCGCACTGTGACATTTGATTAGGCATACGAGCCATCGCTGTGTAATTCTTCGAGGTATTAGAGTGCCGCCTTACCGCGTAAGCTGTCTGTGGGACTCGCCGTATACTTTATTTTTGCAAGAATCCCTTTTCAGGTGTAGAGCATTTTAGGGGAAGACATCTTCGAGCGCGTTCACGCGAAATACGAGCCTTCGTTTTCTTGTTCTTCGATTACCTTGATGATGACTTTAACG